AGTCCATTGGCATGGCCTTTGCTGGAGGTCTGACAAACAGCAACATGCACTGATTCATGAAGCGCTTGAAAGAGGTTTGACTGATGATGAGTGTGCTGAAGAATTGGCAAATTGGGCAGCTAACCAATTTGGAATGACTGCTTCACATCCAGCAGGCAAAGATCACAATGGAGAATCAAAGAAAAATCTATGGCCACCTCCAGAAGGAACTGCACCAGCACCACCAGAGCAAGACAATCCCCTTCAGAAACTTTTAATGGATGTAAGCTCAACACAAGAATCCTTGCTTGAAGACTATATTCTCCTAACCAACAGGGTCAATTTACACCGTTGTTCTGAAACATACTGCCTCAAACAGACAAAAACAAGAAACAAAAAACTGTGTAGGATGGAATTCCCCAAACCTCTTCGTTCAGTTGCGGCTATTGTACATGACAAAAACAATTCTCTCCGTTTAGAAATGTCAAGGGATCATCCAGTTCTGCTCCAAAATTCACGCTTTCACACTCAAGGATGGAGAGCCAATGGAGATGTATCACTAATTCTTTCCAAAAGCAATCCACAGAATCCTTCCGTGAATGAAATTATTGCCACAGAACGATACATCACTGGATATGCGTGCAAAGGCAACCAACCAACTGGCGCTATAGTAGACCTGTTCAGTGATATGGTGAATTGTGCTGATGAATCAACCGGTGCATCAGCTAAATCCCTCTGCACGAAACTTCTGATGAACACCNAAAAAACACAGCTTTGGACAGGTATCTATCCCGGAATGAAACTAATCAGAGCTCTCTGTACAATTTTGTGTGCCACTCGGGAAAAGTTCCGGTTATTTCTGGAGCCAGTAGTCTACTTTCCTGTCCCCTTGATGAAAACTACTGCAGGACAATGCTCCTTTTACATTTTCCAAACTGGAATTCATTTGTTTTTTCAAACAGCGATCTGTCCAAACTTTGTCAAAGCTGAAGTGGGAAGGGCAAAAAAACATGACACTCATGAAATTGAGGAGGAATCTGAAGTTGAAGAGTCTCATGAGAATGATGTCGAACAGCCAGAATGGATGGACGCTCTATGGTGCAGTCCCATCCGAATTTCATTATGATGATGCTGGGCCGGGATACAACTGGAATCAAAGATCATTGCTCCAACAAGATGTGGGAAAGTCATGGATTGAGCACATCAAAGAAAATAGCAATGAGCCAAACAATGTTCTTGATGTACCAAACGTTGTCCTTACCAACATGAATGAAGATCAGAGGCTTGCATTCAATATTGTAATGGATACTCTACATCGATACATAGATGAAGATAATGCCTTTAAGCCTTTAAGGATGGTTGTATCTGGTACTGCAGGTTCTGGAAAGTCATACCTGATAAGATGTTTAGTGAAGGGTATTTGAAATCTCTTCAAGACAAACAAAGCAGTACAAATACTCTGTCCTACTGGAAGTAGTGCAAACCTCATTTCTGATGTAACTTTGCACAGCGTTTTGAAAATACCAACACATCATTAGGGTAAG